GTTTGAATTCCAATTCTGCCAACCATTAGCTGCGTGACCTTTGGAACTTGACCTCTCTGCACCTATTCTCTCCTGCATGAAAATTCCTGAATTTTTTACGGCTCCTTGATAGCAAACAACAGAATCCAACTCTGGGTAAATAGATCCAAAAAGGTAGTGAGGTGACTCACAGACTCAGAACAGCAGCTGAAAGAATAGGGAAGGCAGCTCTGGGATCCAAGACAAGGAGCTAATTGTGGTGGATTGCACTGTTTGGCCCCAATTCTTAACTCCTCCCTGACTCCATGCCCCGTTTCCATGTAGCTTTCTTATAGAGTGTGGGGTGACCTGCTCTAACCTATGACTCTGGATTTGGCCATGTGACTTGCCAATGGGATGTCATCAGATGTGATGCAAGGAGAGGCTTGGAATGGTTTTATACATCGGGACTTGCTTGCTCTTGTACCTCTGCCATCATCATGACGACATGCTCATATGAACCTGCTGGAGGATAAGAAACATGAAGAATAGAGCCAGCCAAGAACCACAGTACAACCATGCAAAGTAATGCCCATGTGACAAATATCCTGGGTGCTCCCCCCACCAATACACACACATACACACACACACATATACACACACTCACTATTTCAGTGCATATCTTCCACCTGACAGAATGGGCATCTCTTTGCCTGAGAACAAGATCAGATTCTCTGATCACAAGATTCTGCTCTGCCTAGGAATGGGACAGAATGACAGACTGGGAATTAATACCCCTCATTAAAAAAAAAAAAAGATATCCTACTATTTGGGACAACATGGATAGAACTTGAGAACATTTTGGTGCGTGACATAAGTTAGACAGAAAAAGATAAATACTAATATAATTAAATCTCACCTCTATGTGGGATCTGAAAAAAAAAAAAAAAAAGGCAAACTCATAGAATCACAGAATGGTGGTTGCCAGGGAGTAGGGATGAAGGATATGGAGAGGTGTTAGTCAAAGGGCACAAATTTCCAGATACAAGATGAATAAGTTCAGGGGATCTAATATACAGCATGGTGACTATAATTAACAACACTGTATTATGTACTGGTGAAGAGGAATTTTCACTCAAAAGGCTTATCAGCTCTTTCTTCTGCTTCTGTAGATATGCTTGCTGCAGAGGCCTCACTCAAAATTAACTAAAGACTCATCTTCCCTCTTGCTTGTTTTGTCTAAGCAACAAATGTAACTACCTGTACTCCCTAGCAACTCCAGGGGCTGTGTAACTCTTTAACTGCGTGCAACCCATAACAACTCCCCGGCTTGGTAATTGTCTGAGGACAAATTGACCAATCAGCCCATGCCAAATAAGCTCTATATAAACAAAGTTGCGACTGAGTTTCTGGCCCAGATCTTCTTTGGGACAGCTGGGGTAATAAACCTGAGTTCTCCAACTTTCCCAGTGCTGGTTTCTCCCGCGTCTTATTTTTGCAACATTTCTGCAACACCAGGAAGTTGCTAAGAGGCCAGATCTTAAAAGTTCTCACCACACACACCTGGAAATTATGTTTGATGATGGATATGTTAACTAACTTTATGTAGTAATCATTTTACAATATATACATGAATCGTCATTAAGTTGTATACCTTAAACTTATACAATGTTATATGTCAATTATATATCAATAAACCTGGTAAAAAATGAGAATTTTTGAGAGGATGGGGTTAGTTCCACATAAGGTGGAAAAGGCAAAATCACAGAATGTCACCACCCAAAGGGCCTCAAGAATTTTAAGTTGGAATCTCGGCGGGGTTGCGGTGGGGTGGGGGACGGTGGTTGCTGTACTTACTCTGAGATATGCTCTTTGGCTGGCACAGGTTATTTTGTTTTAACTAACCCAACAGAGTACAAAGTTCTGAAATTCCAGACTGGAAAAATGGGAAGATCTGGCAAAGCAGAGTCCATATTCCAAGCTGGCAATAATTGGTTGAGATTTAACAGTGGAGGATTCAGTGCCCTGCCACAGTTCCCAGTTCCAATTCTGAAAACCCAGAGCTTCCTGCTGTGCTTTCCAGCTGTATCAGTCACTAGAATTAGCAGCTCTTTAGAATTTAATCCCCTCGCTCAGTGTATAAGGAAACCAAGGACCAGAGTTGGAAGCAAAGGGCTCCAGAGTCACCGACAGAAATAAGCCCAGCTGGGATGGTTTTTGAATGGCCGAGGAATTTGACAGTGGAGGGCATCGCAGGGTTTTGGTAAGGACTCTGATAAGGGTCAGAGCTTAAAGCAAAGCAAGCTGCCCTCGATCCCCAGCTTCCTCACGGAGGGGTGTGTGTAGGTGGGGTCTTCCTCCACTCCCCACCCCCAAAGCCCACTCTGCGCTGGTAGGAGTCTCCCCCGCACCAGCTCTGGGGCACGAAAGAATGCACCCCGGGCTCCTATTTGTAGCGAGAGTGGACTCTGGCACTGGGCTAAAAAAAAACCTGACGCTCAGCTCCTGCACGGTCCACCTGCCGTGGGGCGCCACTGCAGGGCGCAGAGAGCCTTGCAGGTTGCTCCAAACCCGGCTACTGTAGTCCCATTGACAACCTGGGTACAGGTTGGAGCAGAAACCCCTGCGGGATCCAATCGGGTGAACTGGAGATCCCAGGCAACGCGGCCAGAGACCCACGAGCTCTGCGCCTCGGGCGCTGCAGGTGTGGGAGCCTATCGCTTGTCTTCCGCCTCGGATAGGAAGCGGGCGGAGGACCCCCGAGGCGGAGTCGAGTGCGGGGCGGGGCGCATCCGGCCGGGTCCGAGGCGCGAAGAGCTGCGGAGGCGGAGCGCCAACTCCAGCGGGAAGACAAGAGACCGCGACGCTCTCGGGAAGCGCGCTAGAGCAAGAAAGAGGGACTCCCCCAAAGCAGCCCCTCCGCAAGTACAAGTCAGGGTCCCCAGGGCGGAAACCGAGCAGCCCGGGCCGCTGAGCGCGCGAGGAGGAGGCACAGAGGCAGGTAAATGCTGCGGTCTGCGCGGCCCAGGTCTTCACTGGTGGGATAGGGAGCGTCTCCCAGGCAGAGGGAGCCAACGCCAATTTCTCGGGGGGTTTGGGGCTGCTTTGCATCCTGCCTCTCTGGGGGGGATGCGCGCAGGCTGGCCCAAAGGAGAGGAATTGTGGCTGGGAGAGCCCCCCAAACCATGGACACGCTGGGACCGGGCGGGGATGGTAAACTGCGGGCGCGAGCAGAGCGGGCGAGCGAGTGTTGGGTTGGCCGGCGAGCGCCAAATTTCAGAGAAGGGCGTGGGCAGGGGAGCACCTTCTTGAAAAGAGAGCAGAAAAGGGGAAGCGTCTCTGGAAAAATTCCCGCTCACCCTTTCGACCCCCATCCCCAATTTTCTTCCCGCCCAGAGGTTCTGCAAGCTTTGCTTTCCGAGCCCGAATTTCTGACTTGATTTCGGCCTGTGCCAGGGTGGCGCCTTTGGGGACCGCGCTGCTGCGCAGGGTAGTTTATCCGAGACTGGCGAGGAGGTGGCTCCTGGAGCGAGTTGATCAAGGGCAGGGAGTGCATCCCGCGGCAACGGGGCCGGGACCTGCCCAGCCCCCGCGCACGCCGCGCCTCTGGGGTCCTGGGACTGGAGAGCCGCGGAGAGTAGAAGCCGAGAGAGCGCGACTCCTGCTTGTCTCTGGCTGAGCACTGCTTACGGGCATTGAGCCTCGCATGCGACGGAGAGGCCATCAGTCGGGAAGATATCCCCGGCTGCGAACGCCTCTGGGACTTCCCTCGGGTGTGCCGCATGCTTACGCGCTGCAGATTGAAGTGTCCTTGCCACTCTGCCACTACTGTCCTTTCCTTTTCGAGGGCAGTTCCTGCCCCTCGGGATCCCCCTCCTGTCACAGGCCATGCCAGACATCCTGCCCAATTGGGTTCACTTCTTTCTACCAGCATTCAGTGGCCTCCACACTTGGAGTTGTTTCAGGTGTGCTAAGCGGGAGGGTGCAGGTGGTTCACAGCTGTATGACTAGAGCCTCCATTCCAGGTGTTGAGGTCCAGGTTTTTTTTTTTCCATCCTTCTCAACGCCTTGAATCCAGTGGTACCTTATCGCTTGAGGGCTCAATACTTAGAATTTATTTCCTCACCGTGGGCATCTTGAGAATATAAAAGACTTCGGCAACAAGGGACAGTTAAGTCCTCAGGCCCTCCTGGGTCCTCACTGACACTCTCCTGCCCCTAGGGTGTCTTTTTTCAGTTAGGCTAGGTCTTTCAGAGGACACAGACCTAGGTGACAGGATATGGTGCCTCCTAGTCAGGGATTCTTCTGGGAGGGAAATTGGAGGCCTGGTGATGAGGACAAGAAAGAGGGGAAACAAAGGATTTCTTTCTAGAGCTGGTTCCCAGGATGCATGGTAGCACCTGTATATTTCCCTCCCATCCACAGCCCCCTCCACCTGCAGAATCCTGGTTAGGATTCTCATTCCTTTATTCAACAGATTCCTATCCACCCCTGCTATGTGCCAGGCTTTGGGCTGGACAGCAAGAGTTTGGTTTACAGGAAGATTGAGACACACAGAGCATAAATCACTGCCCCAAGATAAAACAGCCTGTCCATGTGAAAATGGATTTGGTGATTTTCAAGTACGTGGTTTGCCAAAACAGGGAGAGTGCTCTGCTTTGGAGGAAAGAGCCTACTGTATCCCAGCCATCGGGCTTCATTGTTCCTGGCTAACGTGTTGCCATAGAAGCCTGGGCCGAAGCAGCCTTGGAAAACTTTCGGAAGACCCCCGTGTGGATTTCCCACTTACAGATCTCATGTTGCCTCTCCCCCATGCCCTGGGTAGTTCTGTCTGTGGGTAGGCATGGGTTCTAGTTGTCCTATACCTGAGGGACTTTGGGATAGTGCTACCAGGTGTTCTGCACGTTGTCCACTGGCTTTGTCTCTTTCCAGGATCCAGGATGGTGTGTTGAGTCTCCCCAATGATGTGGGCAGAGTGCTAGGCTCACTGATCCAGAGCAGAAGGTCTGGACCCAGAGTGCTCAGACCCCGAGAGCCTTCACCTGCAAGCTTCACCATGGCCACCCAGAATGTAAACACTAGTTTTGCACCCAATTTCAATCTACCCCAAGACCATGCCTCCTTGCTTCCCTTCAACTTCAGTTATGGTGATTACGACCTCCCTCTGGATGAGGACGAGGACATGACCAAGACTTGGACCTTCTTCGCAGCCAAGATCGTCATCGGTGTGGCACTGGCAGGCATCATGCTGGTTTGTGGCATTGGCAACTTTGTCTTTATTGCTGCTCTGGCCCGCTATAAGAAGCTGCGCAACCTCACCAACCTGCTAATTGCTAACCTGGCTATCTCTGACTTTCTGGTGGCCATCGTCTGCTGCCCCTTTGAGATGGACTACTACGTGGTACGCCAGCTGTCCTGGAAGCACGGCCATGTGCTCTGTGCCTCTGTCAACTACTTGCGTACCATGTCACTCTATGTCTCCACCAATGCCCTGCTGGCCATCGCTATCGACAGGTAAGAATGTTGGACTGGGGCAAAGATGGGGGTTGGGCCAGGCTGCTCCTTTCCTCACTTCAGCTCTGACAGTTGGCATTGCTTCAGATGTGAATGCTCACTGACCTATTATGGGGCAAGAGGAGACCTGGTTTTTTCAGTTGTGGTTCCCGTTCTCCCTAATGTGAGCAAGAGGGAGGCTCCTGAGACCCCCAGCTCTGGGCCAGGCCCCAGATACCACATCCGCATCAGATACAGGCATGTCATAAAACCATGAGTGGAATCAAACACAAAAGCAAAAGTAGAAAGTGTAGGCAGCTTACTACACAGAAGTCACATGAGAGTTAACCAGGGCAGCTTCTAGTCAAGACAGCATGTACCAAGTTTTTCTGTAACCACTACCCAAATAATGATATAGAACATTTTCATCACCTAGAAAACTTCCAGATGTCCCTTTAACAGGCAACTTCCCACCACACACAACCCTGATCTGATTTCCATCATCATAGTTTAATGTTGCTTATTCGTTAACTTCATAAAAATGGAATCACACAGGATGTACTCTTGTTTCTGGTGACTTTGTTACACAGCTGATTTTAAAATCACACAACAGGCTTGTTTGCAGAAAAGAAGGAAGGATATGCTTTTTTGTATGCATCCATACGCTCATTTTCATACATTTGCATGCGATGTTCTGGAAGTCTTAGCTCTGTTATAGATTTATGAAGTAAAATTTCTAATAGCAGCTTATAACAAATCTGACACGTTTTATTTATCTGAACAGTTGTAGGCCAGCAATATCTCTGTTCGAGGGAAGCAGTTTTGGTGTCACGTCCTCTTGGTCCATCATTACAAGCTGTGCTGAAACTCATTTTGATAATGTTTTTTAATCATCCTTTTTCTCTTTTGTCTCCTTTCAGCCTTTACGTTTTTCTCTTGTTCTCAGTGCTATTCAGGTTTGTTTTCCTTGTTAATCAACCAGTTGATTATTTTTCATTTATGGTAATAATATACACATACGAGACATCTTCCTTTTTATAACATAATTCCTTCAGAAAAGTAATTTTGTTATACCTTTGAGGCTCCCCAGCCCTGAAAACCAGTGTTTATGAAATGTACCCACCAACCAACTGCACAGAATTCCCCAGGGGAAATGATAGAAAGTATTGATACAGTGATAAAAGTCAGATTCCTGGGCCCCACCACCCCAGCCACCCTGAATGAGAATTCTTGGGCTAGGGCCCACGAATCTGCATTATATATCCAATTCCCTGAGTGACTCTTAAGGTTCACTCAAGTGAGAGTTATCACCCGTTCTCATCCTCTTCGTCCCACTGAAATCTTTGTCTTTCTAATGCAGCTTTTATTTGTTGTTGTTGGCTAACAGGAGTTTCTTAAGAAGCAACCATCCTGTTACAACACAAAGAGTGGTTCTTTTCCATCCCAAACCAGCTCCGCCCCAGTCAGCTTCCCAGCTCCATCAGCAAGTCTGCCATTTTCTCAAGCAGGAAAAAATTAGCATCCTTCTTTGCCTTTCTTCCTGTCCCATCCCCACCCAACCACCCACCCTTCGTGCTCAGCCCTACACTAAGTTTTGACAACTGCACAATCTCATTCCTTAGCAAGTCATAGCTGCACCATCGTAATGCTCCTCTGACCTGTCTGCACACCTGTCTCTACAATTCATACTCATCCATATTAAGCATCCAAATATCATCATTGATGAGTTCTCTTAAAATATTTCATGGCTTACAAACTTCCACGTTTCAGTGCCTAACAGAATACATGCTAAATCCTGACTCTAGCATTCCAGAACCTTTATAATCTGATGCCAACTTGTCTTTCCATTCTCATGCTGTGTATGGAGATACAGATAGTCTTTTCCCACAACATTGTATTTTAAGTGTGATAACCATGTCTTCTATCTTTCTGTCTCCGCAGTGCTTAGCACAGAGCCTTATACCTGTACCTTAGTTTGGTTTACTTCTCAAATCAACTCTAAGACAGGATTCATGTCCAGGTAGCACCCAGGAAGTACTTATAGGGAGAAAGGAGGTTAAGCACACAAGAGAAGGCAGTCAATATAGATTGCATTGTTGAGCAAGGTTCCACTGTGGGCAACTGATGTTTATTCCTCTTTGGAACTGGTGTAGATCACACTTCAGAGTTCTCTTAGATCACACTTCAGAGTTCTCTTAGGAGTGGGAGGTGGAAAGGAGTTGGGGTATTTATATACCAATTCACAAGTCATTGATGAGAGCTACTCTAAAAATGTGCAGATAGCTAGGAGGACTCTAGAAGCCCGAGAAGGCCTTCAGACAATGAAATGCAGATGCTGGCAGATGGGAGTGGACAAGTTTGCACTGAAGTAATAAAAGCAAAGGGAATTGAGAAGGGCACCGACAGCATCTGCTATAACCTGCTAAGTCCACAGGTTGCTGGTCCTGCTGTGTAAGCCCAATCTATGTATATGGAAACATAAAGCAGTAGAAGATACAGTCCTTGATCTCAGGGAGCTTTTCTTCCCACAAAAGCTAAAATAATCAAGTGATGGATAAGAGTAAGATGTGATCACTATGTTAGTGATGTAGTCTGGGAATGCTTCATGAAGATTTTGAGATTTAAACGTGCTATACTGACTACCTCTTACTCACCCCATTGATGAGGGCAGGATTCTCCCACCTTAAATAGTACAAGATGACTGAACACACTACAGCTGACGTTGAACAGATGAGACCAACAGCAGTTAATTTGTCTCATATACTCATAGCCAAAGGGAGGAGGACACTGCACACCATGCAAGGCCACGTGGGAGTTGCACTCAGGAATAGAATGAACCAGCAGGATCTGTGGGTAGCAGGCTTTATAGTGACAAGAGGATGTGTTTACCCTTGGTTTCCATAGGAGAATGTGATTGGCTTATCCAAATAATTCCGGCAGCGCAGTGGAACCCATTAGGTTGAGGATTGAGGGTGCAGCTGGTCTAGCTGATAGAAGAACTAGAGGAACAGGAAGCTTCCTGCTGGGTGGAAGGGTATATCTGGAGAGAAGAAGGAACCTATGGCTAGGTCTTTGAGGCCCTGTGAGGCTCAAAGATGTCGAGGCAGCACATGAAATTTCAGGCCTTATAATATAGGAGCCTAATAAATACCCTCTTCCTCACTCAGATTCTAAAGCAATTTAAAAATAAGGCAAAAATTAATAAGAAAGATAGATATCAAACTCACTTTTGTTGTGATTACACTGATACTGGATAATGGGACTTTTATCTGTGGGCATGGGAACCATTTCATACTCAGAAGTATGAAATGATGGGAGACACACAGGCCTCCCTAGGCACTTCAGTTTACCCCTTGGTAAATATGCCTATCCTACTACATAGAAATATCGGAAGGGCTACCTAGTGCCATTGTTGGATGCCAAAACCAGAAAAGCAAAGTTCATGTGTAGAGGACCTGAAGGAGGTGTTATTTAAAGTCATAGAGACCCTAGAAGGAGTGTTGACTTCAAGAAGCCCATCCAAGCAAATAGATGGCAACGAAGACCTTGCTTTATGGTGTCAAGGTGACTTCACACACCTCTTCTGAGCTTGAGTTAGCCCAGGGAGGTGGATGTAAAAGCTTTGATCAGGAGCCTGGATTCTGGTCCCTCCACCAAGTGAGCCTGGGGAAGTCACTTACTTCTCATTAGATTCTTTAGATTCCACTCCAAGCCCACCCTTACTCTTGTGCTCTGTAATGCCGAATGACACCTGGGGGAAGGAGAGAGAAAGCCCTTGCCCACTGCCCCCCAAAAAGGTCCCCACCTCTCTCTGAGGTCCACAGCCCCACTTTCTCCCCTAAACCATGAAATATTTCAAACGAGTTTTGAAAGTAGTATGTTCTTGGGCAGAATGGCAGGACTGAAGGCCAAGGTGGCATCAACAGGACTCATAATAATAGGCCACATGTATTTATTGAACACCTACTGCATGCCAAGCATTTTACAAACATTATCGTATTTAATATTCACGGCAGACCTGCAAGGTAGGTGCCATTTTATCTCATGTTGCGCTTGAAACATATCTCAGAGAGACTGATTCCAGACTCCAAAGCCCGTGAGGGAAAAGGCTGGGATTTAGTCCACTTATTTGACCCAAGGTCTGTGCTGCTTCCTCTAAACCACTCCAGTCCACCAAATACCAAATCGTGTTGCTAAAATAAGAGGAAGCTTGTTAAAGCTGGGTTAATAGTACATGGGGAATCATTGTGCCATTTTGTCTGCTTTTGTGTGTGGTAGGGTTAGATACTAATAATGTTCCCAAGCATGCGTCATTATTATTGATGGCTTCCTTCCCCCACCAGATATCTTGCTATCGTCCATCCTTTGAAACCACGGATGAATTATCAAACGGCCTCCTTCCTGATTGCTTTGGTCTGGATGGTGTCCATTCTCATCGCCATCCCATCTGCCTACTTCGCAACAGAAACAGTCCTCTTTATCGTCAAAAACCAAGAAAAGATCTTTTGTGGCCAGATCTGGCCTGTGGACCAGCAACTGTACTACAAGTCCTACTTCCTCTTCATCTTCTGCATCGAGTTCGTGGGCCCGGTGGTCACCATGACTCTGTGCTACGCCAGGATCTCCTGCGAGCTCTGGTTCAAGACGGTCCCGGGTTTCCAGACAGAGCAAATCCGGAAGCGCCTGCGCTGCCGCCGGAAGACGGTCCTGGTGCTCATGTGCATCCTCACGGCCTACGTGCTGTGCTGGGCGCCCTTCTACGGCTTCACTATCGTGCGCGACTTCTTCCCCACTGTGTTCGTCAAGGAGAAGCACTACCTCACCGCCTTCTACATCGTCGAGTGCATCGCCATGAGCAACAGCATGATCAACACCGTGTGCTTCGTGACCGTCAAGAACAACACCATGAAGTACTTCAAGAAGATGATGCGGCTCCACTGGCGTCCCTCCCACCATGGGAGCAAGTCCAGTGCCGAACTCGACCTCAAAACCAGTGGCATGCCGGCCACGGAAGAGGTGGACTGTATCAGGTTGAAGTGACCCTCTGGTGTTTCACAGGTGAAAATCCAAATGCCAGTACTTAGAGCAAATTTTACGGATAACCAAGTTCACAGGTGCATGGAGAAAGGGCAACTGTGTTCATGCCCTCGAGTTTCTGTATGCTTCTCAGTCATAGCATGCAATAAGATCACACACAAACCACAGCAGCTGACCTTTACTGATACTGCTCAGCACCTACTGTATGCACAACCACACAATGAGACTAGACACAAGTAATGGCAACTGACATTGAACATCTGTGTGCTAGCCAGTGAGATTAGACAAGGGCAACAGGGGCTGACATTTATTGATTACCTACAGTGTGCAAAAATATTTAAATAACAAAATAGCAGAATGGCCAGACAGAGGCCACAAGTGTTATCTGGACTCACTCTGCACCTTCCCTTATTCTGTATCTCATCAGTGCAGAAATGTCAAAAGACAATAAAATAAGACACTTAGACATGATGGAAATGTAAAAATAAGTTTGTCAGACTATGAGGTTTACAGCCTCATGGAAAGAGAGTTCATGGTATCATGTTGAGCTTTCCCACTCAGCTCCTACTACCTCCCTTGGACATTCTCTATGATTCTGGCTGCCAGAAAATTTTTTTTCTCATAACTAGGCCTTTGGTTATCTATGATGGTGTAACCTCAAAGAAAGAACCAAAAAATCTTTTCCACTGATGCTTGAAATCTCATTAGTCTTTTGGGAGAAGACATAATCTTGAAACAAGGATTACACCTTAGTGTAAAGTATTTCAAAGTCTCTAGTGTCAGGGAGGAAGGGGACCTAGAAAGGGGTGGAGCTTGCCACTGGTAATAAACATAATCTCTGTGGCTGTTTTGCTGAGGCCTGGACCACTTTTCAAGGGGGAAAAACAAACAAACCCTCTTTCACAAACTGAGCTCTACTTGGAATCCAAAGGCTTGGATTCAAGTCCTAAGTCAAAGATTCACGAGACCTGGATGTTTACTCTCTCTGAATCTTAGCTTTGCTTCAGTGAAATAAGAATGATGAAAATACCTGTACTATATTCACTGTATAGGACTGTTGAGAGAGCCCATTGAAGTCATACGTTGTGAAAGTGTTTTTCTACTATCTGAGTGATAAGAATGGATAAGTGATATCGAATGGTTTGTTTGGACAAGGGAAACCCCATCCACTGTGGCTTATTATGGAGGAACATCCCCACTTATTTATCCCTATTTGGACCAGAGACCCCCTGAACTCTTCACAGAACAGCACATCTACATTGGGGCACAAAAGAAATCCCTGTCCTGCATAATAATCTGGAAGATTCAATTTTAGAGTCTCAGTGACCTCCAGGTTTTCAGCATCCCCATGATCCTAGAAGTGTTGACAATTTTCCCTGCATGTTGCATACCCCAGGACTGCATAATCTATATTATACATCTGTGGTTATTGTGTGCATTTGTTTTAATTCCTGATTTGTTTTGAAGCAAAGACTATAGAAATGGTACCTAGTTTGATAATGACCCATCCACATTTGGTCAACTATTTTTCTATAGATACAGGGTTCTTTCATTGTTTGCTTGTGGTTTTTTAAAATTAACGTTTGGTTTGTTTACTCAGCAGTGAAGTTTCAGTCAACATTTTCTTCCATCACCACCTAACAGACACCTTCAAGCCCAATCAGTGCCCAGAAAATGGAAACTAACTTTAGAATTAGCCTAAGCCAATTGGTTTGTCAATTCTGATTTTAACAGAATTATACAATACATTCTAAAGCTAAGCAAGTAAATATTGGGGGTTATCTGCATTTTGACAAATATAATAATAACCATATTTTTATTGCCCCCTTCCTGACTCTTCTAATAAGATTCTTTAAGAGTAGACTGTATACCAGTTGCACCTGTCAACAGAATTCAAACCCTCTTTTTGATCCTAAAATATACCATTCTCTATTTAAATGTAACTGAAACAATTTTTGTAAATATCAGTGTGTATTTGTAATTTTCCAGTGTTTTCAAATTAAATAACATGTAGACTCTTACCACAGTGTTCGATCATTTTCTCCACTAATCTTTTATACGTGTTAGTATATTTAGATATAAATGAAGTAATAGCCATTAAAACAGATCAACCCTGAAACATAAAAGGAACTCGGACGTGTTTTTAGAACAGTAGCAGCTCATACCAGCAAACAGCCTCATCTTGGTTACATCCCTCAAGCTTACAGCCCAGGGGTGTATTCATGCATACAAATGAGCCAAGAACCACTACTCTGTGCCCATGTTACCCCTTTATTTTAAAATCGTCTTGTTTAATGAAAACTACTGTTTGCATGGAAACTGTTCATTCATCTCAATGGTAATAAATTAATTGCACTTGTGTTTAAACTTCTCAAGACTAATGATAAGCTTAAAATACTTTTAAAGTGCTATGATATAGATATATTTATACATACTATTATATATTGAAAATTTAATCTCATTTGGCAAAACATCCATTTTCTCAGCCAGAATAAGAGAGATTGTTTTGTGATAAAGCTATTAGAGATTTTTCTTTTAGTATCCAACATCTAAAATAAGTTGATTCTGAAAAAAAAAGTCAAAATATGGCTTTAAGCCCTTCAGGCAAACCAATTCCAGACTTATAAGGAAGAATGTGACATGTGGGAGATGATTAGAAAATTTAAAGTGAGTTTTATCTCTAAGAGAAAATGATGGATTTGAAACTTATCTCTTCAATTTAACCATTATCTCTCCCTTGGGCTCAAGAAGATACACATGCATGTGCACGCGCGCACACACCAATAGGATATCAGAACAGGAAAATACCTTTAAAGGGCATATAACTCAACTTTCTCAGATGAGATAATCTAAATTTCAAATGAAGGAATGACTTACTTAACAAAGCACAACTAACACTTGCCAAAGCCAGAATATTGTCCCAAGGTCTTCACTGTGGTCCAGTAAACTGCACTCGGTAACTGCCCTCCTGATTCCAAAGGAGGACTCGCAGAATGCTTAAAGGGCCATTTAAGCTGGTTTCTGACCTCAAGGGAGAATCTTAAACTGCACAAAAAATACCTTCCCTCTCCCTGGCAAGCAAAGAGTGCATCCCATCCAAGGGACTTTGTAATCCAGACATCAGGATTCCAGAGAAACCGGAGGGAATTACACCAGAACAACTCTCGCGTTCTTGCCTTTCTTGTTCTCTAATACTCTGGCTGTAGAATGTCTGAACACATTTGACTTGAATGTCCAGGGAGCTATTAAGTGATGCTGGAGCCATAGGAAGGCATATTGTGACAAGAGCTGACCCTGGCCCCAGGTGGTGGAAGAGGGCCTTATGTTCAAAAACAAAACAAGCCTGGGGCCACCCAACACAGTGTGCAATCTTCACACAAGTTACTACTGCTGATCCTGAGCAGCTGTCCCTTCTAGGCACCAAGTCACCCTCTCTCCTGAAGTCTGCCAATCAGGCACACATCACCTCTTGGGGTTGCTTGAACCACTTACTCCTTTTCAGGTGTTCAAAGAGCTTCAAATATAGTAGTTTTTCCAAGAGATAAACTGGTGTAGGATTAAAGAAAATGTGACACTTTCTTCAGTTATAACTAATTGATTGGAGGCAAAGGATTCTTCAGAATTTAAAACAATCACTAAACAGGGAAGTAGGCAGGGGATTTGCCTCCAAGAAACAGGGAGGTCAGTCCTTGAAACAGAAGGCCATGTAGACACAAGGTCTTGTATGCCTTTGTTGACAACCCTTTGTGACATATGAGTCATAGGCAGAGATGAAAGAGGTCATCTCTGGAATCTCATTTAATGCTGACCTTGGGTTCCCAGCTCTGGTTCCAGCTCCTAGACAAGATCTTAACATATTCCTTTGCCTGAATTCTGCTGCAGGGATGGTCCAGGGTATGCAGAAAAGGGTCTCCCACCCACTCACCCAGTTTCTGTGCTGACTGCTGCTGAGTAGCAAAAAGGATTGAGAGATGTAAACCTGAATCTCAAAGCAACTTTCAAAATAATATATGATTAATTCTATGTTAAAGTTGAGACACTGGAGAGACACTATAGGCACAAAAATGGAGGGAATTTAGAAGACATTCCTTCCAGCCTTAAGGATCAGAGAAAGTTTGGAATGGAAGTAGTTAGGCAGAGCCTTCTAAGATGGGAAAAGTGAGGAGAAGGTATCCTAAGGGAACAGAATGAACTAAAACGTAGATGAGGGGAAATGAGATGAAATATAAGTGGAACAGCAAATCGATTTGACCAGCACAAAGAATGCGGAGTGTTTAGAAGAACAGACTCAAGGAGCAGGCCGGAGAGCAGGATAAAGAAAGAGGCCAGGCGTGGGGGTAGACCAGCAGCCTGCAATTCACGGTCAGACAGAATTAGGTTCAAACAGTAATTCTTACTTAATCATGTGAATTTGGAAAGATAACTTACCCTTGCTCCGGACCTTAGTTCCTTATGTGTAGAGTAGGAATAATAATAGCACTTACATCGCAGGATTATATGAAGATTAAATATATATCTTAGAAAAAAATGCCTAGCACATCAAAAACAGTCAACAGATACTAGCTATTCTTTTTATAATGATTAATTCTGGGAACAGAATGTCTCCTAGATGAATTCAGAACATCTGTCATGTATAATGGATATAATATTTGGGGATTATCAAACAGGAGTATTTCTACTTTCTGTTATCCCATGTCCCTGGTATCTTGGACTCCCAATGGTACCTGGCCAGCTCAAATCACAAGATATCTTCCATAGGTAGAGAAGATGCCCTCCCACCATCAAGGTTGAGCCAGGAAGTTTAATGACCCTCG